AGGACGTGGAGAGACAGTCAGTGGCATGTGCTGGGAGTGCTGCTCCCCGACGCAGGCTTTTCCTTGGAGTGTGCAACCTTTTTTTTTTTTTTTTTTCCTGGCGACAGGTTCTCACTGTGTCACCCAGGCTGGAGTGCAGGGGCACAATCTCGGCTCACTGCAACCTCCGCTTCCCAGGTTCAAGCAATTCTCCTGCCTCAACCTCCCAAGTAGCTGGGACTACAGGCGCGTGCCACCACGCCTGGCTAATTTTGTATTTTTTAATAGAGAAGGGGTCTTGCTATGTTGCCCAGATGGGTCATGAACTGCTGGCCTCAAGTGATCTTACCCTCTTAGGCTCCTGAGTAGCTGGGACTACAGGTGCATACCAACACGTCCAGCTAATTTTAACATTTTTTGTAGACATGGGGTCTTGCTATGTTGCCCAGATGGGTCATGAACTGCTGGCCTCAAGTGATCTTCCCCTCTTATCCCCCAAAGAGCTAGGATTACAGGTGTGAGCCACCGTGCCTGGCTCCTGTGGTGGGTTTATATCTCCACGTTGCTTTCCTGCCATTTCAGGGGTTATTGAGACTGTGTAAAGTTGCATGCTTGCACGCAATCCCTGGCTTGAACCAGAAACCTTCTTTCTGGGGCATTTCTAATTGCTTGGATATATGGAAGTAAATTTCTTATTTAGCGTACCACATTTCATGTGTGGACAATGATGGGTACAAAATGGAACCCACTAAGAAAATCACCGAAGTGTTTCCAGTAAAAATGCACAAGGATAACATCTGACTTGGATCCCATTCCTTCATTCAATGTCTGTTTACTGGGCACACACTGATACTACCCCGTGAAGTGGCTGAGGCAGTGCACATGGTAGGCATGGCCCCTGCCTTCCTGAAGCTCATGCGGTGGGAAAGCCATGATGCAGAAACGTCGAGTAAGACAGGTCCAGATAGTGCGAAGCAAGACTTTGGAGAGTTTTGAGCAGAGAAGTGGTGAGTTCATTGAAGATGATTTGGGCGCTGTATGAAGTGGGATGGGGCTGCAGGTGGGCAGGACTAGAGGTCAGAGGAGGAGGCATTAGAGCAGTTTAGACAAGAGGTGCCAGGGCTCTGATGCCTCAGTGTTTCTGACGGGACGTCTATTCTTTCTTCCCTGCCCACAAATGCCGGTAGCACCCTAAGCAGGAATCACCACCCCTGGCTAGGCATGGTAGCTCACGCCTGTAATACCAGTACTTTGGGAGGCCGAGGTGGGCGGATCACAAGGTCAGGAATTTGAGACCAGCCTGACCAACATGCTGAAACCCTGTCTCTACTAAAAATACAATAATAATAATAGTAATAATAATAATAATAATTAGCTGGACATGGTGGTACATGCCTGTAATCCCAGCTACTCAGGAGGCTGAGGCAGGAGAATCACTTGAACCCGGGAGGCGGAGGTTGCAGTGAGCTGAGATCACACCACTGCACTCCAGCCTGGGTGACAGAGAGAGACTCCATCTCAAAAAAAATAATAATAATAATAAATAAATACATAAATAAAAATAAATTTAAAAAAAAAAAAGGAAGAAAAGAACGACCACCCCTAAGCGAGAGTGTCGTGAGGATGGGAGGTGGTAGGAAGTAGTCACGTCTGGGTCTGGCCGAGGGGTGACTGTGAAGCCTGAGGGAAGACAAGCATCCAGGACCATCCTGCCTGGGCCTGTGCAGGAGCAGTGCAGAGCGGGCTGCTTTAGACCTGCCTACGTCCTCTGAGTGGGCTGGGGAGTAGGAGTGTCCTGGAACACAGGGCACAGGTTGGTGCTTGGGATACAGATTTAGGAGTCCTATAAGGACACTCAAGCTCTGGGCTGGGCGAGATGCCCCAGGGACTGACTACAGAAGGGCCCCAAGAAGCAGCCTTGAGCTCTGTGACAGGACGTGGAGAGACAGTCAGTGGCATGTGCTGGGAGTGCTGCTCCCCGACGCAGGCTTTTCCTTGGAGTGTGCAACCTTTTTTTTTTTTTTTTTTCCTGGCGACAGGTTCTCACTGTGTCACCCAGGCTGGAGTGCAGGGGCACAATCTCGGCTCACTGCAACCTCCGCTTCCCAGGTTCAAGCAATTCTCCTGCCTCAACCTCCCAAGTAGCTGAGACTACAGGCGCCCACCACCACGCCCAGCTAATTTTTTGTATTTTAATCAAGACAGGGTTTCATTGTGTTGCCCAGACTGGTCTCAAACTCCTGAGCTCAGGTGATCCACCCACCTTGGCCTCCCGTAGTGCTAAGATTACAGGCATGAGCCACTATGCCCGGCCAACTTTTGCTCTGGGTACTCTGAGTTTTAATCATGACCTTCAAGAAAACTTGTTTCTTCAATTTATTTTTTATTTCTATTCTTATTTTTATTTTTGAGATGGAGTCTCACTCTGTTGCCCAGGCTGGAGTGCGGTGGCGTGAACTCAGCTCACTGCAAGCTCCACCTCCTGGGTTCACACCATTCTCCTGCCTCAGCCTCCCAAGTAGCTGGGACTACAGGCACCCGCCACCATGCCTGGCTAGTTTTTTTTTGTATTTTTAGTAGAGACGGGGTTTCACCGTGTTAGTCAGGATGGGTTTCTTCAATTTATAAAGGATTTTGGTATACATTATATTATTAGATCTCTTGTTTGCTTCTGAGTAGATGTGGTGCTTCACATTCGTGTCATTTTCCTATTATTTTATCTATTGTGATGTGTAAATATTTGCTATAAATTTCTTTAATGTATAGATATCCAATTTAATTCTCATTTTCAGTTATGTTCTCATGACTATAGAATTACTGAACGTGTGTGTGCGTGTGTGTATATATATCTGTGAAAATTTCTAGGTTATTTTAAACTGTAATAACTATCCCAAATAAATGATCATATGGGATAATATTCCCAGGCGCTGCATGCAGTATTCTAAACATCATAGCATTCCTCCTGTTGTTTTGCAGGAAGCGTATTTATTTGCTTTCTTAAAGGAAAAACTGGAAATACTTGTTCCACTGCGTCGTTAACAGGAGACAGTTTTGCACAGTATTTCTTATGTTTCCAAATGCATACTTAGCACTGTTATGACTCTTTCTCCTCCAGCTCACAGGAAGTAAAAGAGCACAGCTTTTTCAAAGGTGTTGACTGGCAGCATGTCTACTTACAAAAGGTACTCCCTCCATCTGGGGCTCAACTTTGGGTACTGCCGCCCTGACACACTCATCTCTGTCTCAGTTTCTGTCTCTGTCTCTCTATGCACTGATGGCTTCCTGGCTCTGTCTCCCCAGCATCCCCGCCACCCACCTCCCCCAGCATCCTGTGTCCGCAGTGCCCTGGTACCCAAGAGTTACCATGCAGCCAATTCCCTTTGGGGCACTCTCTCACTCTTTGTTTCCCTAATATAAACATTTTGAAAATATCTCCTGTATCAACTTATACAGGGTAAAATGGAGCTATTATCTAGTTAATTCAAATGCACATATAATTGAGCCGTTTTTAGTTTTTGCTCTTCTTCTTGAATTCTTATCTCAACATGACTGTATTTTTACATAGATCTCTATAAAATGTACCTGAAACTTCTGCCATAAATGTATGTATATTTTCTAGCCCAATACTACATAAGAATGAGCATGATTTTTTATCAAGATAATTTCCTTTCCTTATTTTAAGCTTCATGATATTTGCGTTGATACAGGAAACACCCCGAATTCAATTTTCAGAAAAATGTTGATTATCAGCTTTAGATTCGCTTTGCATGAACTCAAGCTGCCGAGAAATGATGATTTTCTCTGGTAAAGAAAGACTAATCTGTTAGTCCTACCGAATTAGAGTTCGACCTCTGGGTCAGTTAACATGTACCTCAGGGTGTTCGCAGGTGTGCCCTGCTCCCTCTAGGCCCCGTTGTCTCTTGTGGTTCTAGCAACCTGAAGGTGGTGTTGCGTCCTCTCAGAGAATGTGCTTTCTTAAGCTGAGCTGGATGGATATGCAGTGCTGAGATTTTGTTATATTTGAAAATTATTTAAGGCTTTGGACATGAATCCTGTTTTTCTTTAATTTGTCTAAAATCTAGGGCCTTCCTTTGGGGCTATTCAGTGCAGAGGCTTTTCTACACAATATGAAATGTGGTTTGTTACAAGCTTGAATGACATGCTGCGCAGTGTAGCATGCGGATATCTGGCACTATGCTGTCTTTGTGGAATGTTAGGTTGGGACGGGACCATACGATCATCTGATAACTGTACCATGCTTATTTGGATCTTCCAGTACCCACCACCCTTGATTCCTCCCCGGGGAGAAGTCAATGCTGCTGATGCCTTTGATATTGGCTCATTTGATGAAGAGGATACCAAAGGGATTAAGGTACACATGCGATCACTTATTTCTTTATTTTTATTTTTGGATGGGGGGATTTCTGTTGGAAATCAAACTTAGTGGTTGTTTTAATATTGGGCTGTTTGTAGTATTAGCCTACAAATGAGTATCAACATATTTGAAGAATGTGTAAGTTAAGGACCTAAATTAAAGGCTTTGAAAGCTTTCTTCAGACTAATAGTTTTATTTCTGAGGAACTGCAAGATAAAATGTTTATTGATTTGGAATATTTGTGATTGAAATAAAACTTGACTTGTACCTGAAACAGGAAAAACAGCTGTGTGATATCAAACATACTTCCCTAGTGCAAAAGAGCCAACTGTCTCAGTTCTTCTAAGTTTTTAGATCTCCCCACATTAGGATGAAAGAGCAAACAGCATGAATCATTTTGCATTTGTCAGTCAAAGGTGAAATAATCACTGTTTTTTTTAAATACAATCCTCTGCCTTTTTTGAACTTTCTTTCATATTGTCATTCCCCCAAGTAGACAAGACATAATTAGAGATGGTGAGTCATGAGAGAAGATCATCCTGTTTAAGATGCTGGGTCAAAGCATATCACTACATCAAGCTCTCACCTACCCCCGTGCTGGCAGCTTGCCCCAGGCCCTCCCCACTGCCCCCGGGCCTCCCCTGTGCTTCTTAGCTGCCCCCATTTACACCCTTCTGACACTAACCCTCCTTGCCTTCCCCACCAAGTACCTTCCTTCTCCAGGAGGCTGCAGCACTATTAAAAAACACGCCTGTGAGGTGTAAATAAAAGAGTGACAAGTAAAATGCAAGGGCCTAGCAGGAGCTGTAACCGGAGACACATAGGACTTGGACCAACTAGGCTGTGGGACAGAAAAGGCAGTAAATGGCTGGAGGAAGATGGGAGGATTGCGGGGAAGGAGAGCAGCTATCGGGAGCAGCATGTACAGGCTAAGTGCACCTGGGGAACCCAGTGGCAGCTGGTCAGAGCTAGGGGCCCCAGGAGACGAGGGGCTGGGCCATGATGATGATTAGGGTGTTCACGGGACCAGCTTCTCAGGTGTTGGAGGTTAGGCGAAGACAAAGTGCAGAGGACCCAGGTCACAGGACTGTGAGGATTGCTGACCAACTGAGAGACACCCTTCTGTGGTCTGGAGCAGTGACTGGGGTCAGCATTGAGACCGATGCCTAGACCTGTACACCAGGCATCGTCTGTAGCCGGAACCATTGATACCTGTCATGTATATGAGTATACAGCAGTGTTTTGGGGAACAATCCACTTTCAAAGGAATTTTAAAAATTTACTGCTATCACAATAGAATTTTTTCACCTGCCATATACCACTGTCTATCCATCAGAGTACTAAAAATAAAATACTGTTACGTGGGCGCCCACGAACATGTTTTGATGTTAAAAAGAGATTATCATACTTAAAAATGTTGTAAACCAAGATCCAGGCTTTGGAATCACAGACTGGGCTAGGGTCTGCCTCTCAGCTGAGTGAATGTGGGCCATTCTGTGACCTCTGGAGTCTTGGCTTTCTCACCTGTAAAGTGGGGGGGTTTCATTGCCAAGCGTTCTCTGAGGATAAATGAGGTGGCCCGCTGAAGGCTACAGGCATATAGTCAATGCTTGACAAACCAGTAGCTTCTACTATTATGCTTTGGTTCTTCCTGAGCGAGAGCTGAGAAGGAGCACACTTAGAACAAGAAGTCCTGTCTGGTAGGGAGTCAGCTCAAGCAAGAAGCCCAGGTCCTGCCCCCGCGAGAGCTGAGCCCAGCAGGAAGGGCAGGGGACTGCATTTTAAGAAACTGTCTTTTAAAAACAGCCCAAATAATACATTTCCTTTAAAAGGGTGGGGGAAGCTCACCTCATGTAAACATAAGTTTTTTTTTTTTTTTTTTTAATTCCTTTTCAGCAAGGTGGGCTCAGTCATAAAGATGAAGTCTTGCTGAAATGATAGGCGGTAGAACAGTGTCTGTTAAACAGAGTTGGCCATTTCAGAATAACTACCTGGGCAAGGAGCGTGCTTTGATTCTTTGCCAGACCGTTCAGAACCTGTCCCTGTGTGCCTGATCTCAGCTGCTCCTCGGACCTTGAGGTTCTCAACACCCCATCACTCACACACACTCACACACGCACCTCCAGTCCCATTCAGAGCAACCGAGGGGCTCAGCTATGGGCTTAGGTGGAATGCCTGAAGAAAACAGAAAGAGGAAAAGCTCTACAGGTCAAAGCGACCTCAGCATCAACAGATTATTATAACAGATCAACGAGACTGGATGGAGTAGGCCCCATATTGGGATGCGGGATGCAGCTTCTTCTGGTGTTCTGTTGATCTGCTAAGGGAATGTGTGCAAGTGCCTTAGCCTCCTTGGTCTTTCTTGTCCTTGTCAGTATTTTGCCTGTTATGATACCTACCCCTGCTTATCTTTCAAGGAGTAAGCAAACTAAGCTTCTAAGGAGGTCTGTGCTTCTAAGACAAGCATGTTTTTATCAGTAGACTTGCTAGTATTTCTGCCATAAAAATGTAGCTCACATGCAGAAAACCATTTTCTTTGTTCATATTCAAAGTGCAGCCTTACCTAGAGGGCAGAAAGAAGAATTTTGAGTACTCGCTTGGAAGAAAAATGCTACCATTAAGTGTAATTTTTGTTACAGCAGCTCTTAAAGTCTCCGTTGCCTAAACTCTCCGTGTATCTGGAGAGTTCTCACACATGTGATTATGATGTCAAACTGCAAATAGTTGGAAGGTTCATGGAATTAATAGGAAGCTCAGCCTCATTTACCTTTTGTTTTTCTAACTTTTCAGATTAATTGAGGGTAGGTTCAAAAGCCCTCTTGGCTTCTCTCTTGTAACAGTTTTTGAAACTATAGAAACAGTTTTCCTACCTATATAAACAAAATATCCTTACCATAATTGAAATTTTACTTGGTTGTCAGAATCTCCTAGCACTTCAGGTAAAACCCCGTATATGTGAGTTTTCGTTGGCAAACATGTCATGAAGATAGTATAGAAGATTGGGCTGGACGTAGCTGATCCAGGACTGAAAGTGAAGTGCTCCCCAGTTCTGTTTGTGGATGCTGATTGCTTGAGTTGTCATTAGCAGAGATTTATGACAACTAATAACCTGCCTCGAAATGATTACTGCTGCCATCTAGTTATCTTCCTATATAGAGTTATGATCGAGTCACCATGCATGTGGCGCCGTGGACTCTTACCTTTGTAAGTATGTTAAATCATAAACATCTTGATTTCTTAAAATAATCAGCTGCTTGATTGCGACCAAGAACTCTACAAGAACTTCCCTTTGGTCATCTCTGAACGGTGGCAGCAAGAAGTAACGGAAACAGTTTATGAAGCAGTAAATGCAGACACGGATAAAATTGAGGCCAGGAAGAGAGCTAAAAATAAGCAACTTGGCCACGAAGAAGGTAAAATAGCTCACGTGTCTCAATACATTTCTAATGCAGTAAATTTTCAGAATTTCTTGTAAAGCTGAAAAAGTATTTGGGTCTTATGGTATTTTCCAGTCAAGAAGAAATCAATGCCATAAATCGTTTCAGTTTGCTCTGGCTTGGAAGAGCTCAGTCTAATATTTCAAAGTCTTCAGTCAGCACACAAATAAGTCTATGGAGACAGGTGGCCGGGTTTCTTTAGTATGCCCTTTTATCTTGGAGTGCTTGGGGACTAGTTTGGAGGTTTTTTCCTTGCAGATTGAGTATGACAGTGTCAGGAGTGGGGCTGGTGTCATTGGTGTGTGCCCTGTGCAGTCATCTGGGCACCTGACTCAGTGTAGTCCTCTGTTGTCATCACCTTGAGACTCTTAGTCATTTTTAAACAAGGGGCCTGCATTTTCATTTTGCACTGGGACCCGAGAAGTATGTAGCCGGTCCTGGCAAGGAACTTAGCATGACACGTCACTTGTCAAGAGAGGTAAATGGGCTGGGCGCGGTGGCTCAAGCCTGTAATCCCAGCACTTTGGGATCACGAGGTCAGGAGATCGAGACCATCCTGGCTAACACGGTGAAACCCCGTCTCTACTAAAAAATACAGAAAACTAGCCGGGCAAAGTGGCGGGCGCCTGTAGTCCCAGCTACTCCAGATGCTGAGGCAGGAGAATGGCATAAACCCGGGAGGCGGAGCTTGCAGTGAGCTGAGATCCGGCCACTGCACCCCAGTCTGGGCAACAGAGCAAGACTCTGTCTCAAAAAAAAAAAAAAAAAAGGTAAATGTCTCCCATTCAGGTACTAACCAGACCCAACCCTGCTTAGCTTCCAAGATCAGACAAGATCGGTCATGTTAAGGGTGGTATGGCCGTAGACAAAAGAGTTAAATGTATGAAGACATTTATATTACAAACAGCATTTTACAAATTGCCAAATCAGGCCAGGTGCAGTGGCTCACGTCTGTAATCCCAGTGCTTCAGGAGGCTGAGGCAGGAGGATACTTGAGTCCAGAAATCCAAGACCAGCCTGGGCAACATGGTGAAACCCCATCTCTACAAAAAATAAGAATTAGCCAGGTGTGGTGGTGTGCACCTGTGGTCCCAGGGACTGGGGGGCCGAGACAGGAGGATCACTTGAGCCCAGGAGAGTGTCTGCAGTGAGCTGAGATTGTGCTGCTGCACCCTAACCTGAGTGACACAGCGAGAAGCTGTCTCCAAAAAAAAAAAAAAAATTGCCAAACTGTATTTTTATGTAAATAATTCAGTGCCCTACTAAACATAACATCAAGTAAGAAACATAAGTTTTAAATAAATCAGTTTTTCTCGATTCAATGAATATGATTACTCGATTTTTCTAAGATTTCTTGAATTTTGGATAATTTATTGTAGTTGATGATTATGTTAAGATGTAATTTCATTTTCCCTCTGGGCAAAGACTCTTGCAAGGTTAACCATATGTAACAAGAATGACCAGAAACTCTTTCACTCTATTAATAGGTTACTTTGGTGGCAGCATCTTAGTAGAGGATTCCTTGGTCTTATCTGACAATTTCCCTGTATCATTTAAAGTGTCTTCGATTCTGGATGACTTACTCTGTATATAAACGTTGCCAGAATATACCAAGGGAATCGTGCATTCTTTGAGCTATGCTTACCTCAATTCTGCAGGGACACACAGCCTTTATTTGTAAGCTCTTCTTTTTTTTTTTTTGTTTGAGACGGAGTCTCGCACTGTCGCCCAGGTTGAAGTGCAGTGGCACGATCTTGGCTCACTGCAACCTCCGCCTCCCAGGTTCAAGTAATTCTCCTGCCTCAGCCTCCCAAGTAGCTAGGATTACAGGTGTCCACCACCATGCCTGGCTAATTTTTTGTATTTTTAGTAGAGATGGGATTTCACTATGTTGGCCAGGCTGGTCTTGAACTCCTGACCTTGTGATCCGCCCGCCTCGGCCTCCCAAAGTGCTGGGATTACAGGCGTGAGCCACCACGCCTGGCCTTAAGCTCTTCTTTAGAGAACAAGTCCATTGTGATCACACTGGGCTGTGTTTGCCACAGCAGATTTTACACAGGAAATTGAATCAGTGTGGACTTGCTCAAGGCCGGGGGAGGGGGGGGGGTCGTGATGTCACTAGAATCCTGATTAATTGGATCCAGAAATATATATATATCTTCATAAGCATGTTCAAGTGTATCCTTCTAGTTAGAGCTGTAATTAGATAGAAAGTTTAGCAAATCGAGGAATTTATCTTCCTATGTTAGTAAGTAATTCGTGCATAAGTAGGTCTCGGCTGACAATCTCAGAGGTCACCTTTATAGAAAAATATAGTCTAGGCTTAGATTCCTGAAAAAAAAAAAAAGAAAAACAAACTTATAATACAGTCGGTCCTCCACGTCTCAGGTTTTGCATCTGTGGATTCGACCAGTCATGATCAAAAATATCTGGAGAAAAACAACAAGAATAACAATACAACAATAACAAAGAATGCAAATAAAAGCTATACAGCAGGGGTTCCCAACCCCGGAGGAGGGGGAGGCCGGTTAGGAACTGGGCCGCACAGCAGGAGGCACCACCTGAGCTCCGCCTCCTGTCAGATCAGCAGGGGCCTGAGATTCTCAGAGGAGTGCAAACCCTACTGTGAACTGCACACGTGAGGGATCTAGGTTACGTGCTCCTTACGAGAATCAAATGCTTGATCTGAGGTAGAACAGTTTCAACCCAAAACCATTCCTCCACCCCCGTCTGTGGAAAAATTGTCTTCCTCGAAACCGGTCCCTGGTGCCAAAAAGGTTCTGGACCACTGCTACATAGTGTAACAACTATTTATGTAGCATTTACACTGTATTAGGTTTATAGGTAAACTAGAGGTGATTTAAAGTTTGTGGGAGGATATATGTAGGTTCTATACAAACACCATGCCATTTTAGATTGATGACTTGAACATCTACTGATTTCGGTATCTGCTGGGGTCCTGGAACCTATCCCTTGTGGATGCCAAGGGATGACTGTGCTCGTATTTTAAATAGATTTTGGAAATGCAAGCACTTCTCAGTGAAAACGACAACTCCATCCTTCCCCATCACCACTGACCCTCCCTGGCCCTCCCTCTCCTTTGTTCTTTTCCTGCTTGTCTCCAGATGACACCACATGGGTTTTACTTGTTTACTGATGGTCTGAAACTCTCACTAGATTGTAAACTCTCTGAAGCAGGGGTTTTTGTCTCTTTTGTTCTCTGCTGAACCCAGAATATCTGGAACACGCCCAGCACCTGGGCATTCATGTGATACTTGTCGAAGAAATGAGTGTGTGAGTGAATGATTTTAGCACAATCACCAAAGCCTTTAATATAGACTTTAAAATTAACCTTTTTTTTTAAAGACACAATATTTCACGATAAAAATGTAATCAGGACTCAACAATGTGTGTGAATTATCTGTATACATAACCACATATTTGAGGAATAAACCTAACATTAAGCTGAGGAATGAACCATTTTTCATCCTTATGTTACCTAAAATACTTGGACAAGAAAATTCCCACTATTATTATTTTTAAGATAAAAGAGAGATTAAAGGGGGAATCCCAACGCCACGTAAAGGGGAAGGTACTCTGGGGATAACTTGACTTTAAATACTCTCTATTCTCCAGTTCTCCTTATACATAATGAAAAGAGTTTGGAAACTTAACTTTTGCCCTCCCAGAGCGATAAATGAACATCATGGGTTTATCAGAATATTGAGAAGCAGCCATTCACTATGTGAGCAGAGGGAGCTGCAGAGCCCTCTGATCTTTAGATCCCCAGGGCACATGCATTTAAAACGAAAATCATGACTTCTGTAATGTGTTCTGTTTATAGAAACCTGCTTTTTCCAAAAAGTATGTCTGTTCTTTTTTCAGAGAATAATGCTGCTAAAACATTTTGTTTCAGAGCCTGTTTAACTCCTAGTGATTTTGTATTCCTCAGATTACGCTCTGGGGAAGGACTGTATTATGCACGGGTACATGCTGAAACTGGGAAACCCATTTCTGACTCAGTGGCAGCGTCGCTATTTTTACCTCTTTCCAAATAGACTTGAATGGAGAGGAGAGGGAGAGTCCCGGGTAAGTCTAAGGCAGTCTCACCAAGCATGTTTCCCAGTACGTACAATGGCATATGGTTATTTCATGTTGCTGACATGTGTTATGCAATATCCTCTGAAACCCTGTGTGTCTATTTTACTGGTATCCATGAGATTGTAATGTGCAAACTTCCACGTCAAGGAAGAACTTGGTAATACCTGAAAATAGAACATGCTATTTAGTGCGGTCAGAAGCACCTCATCATCAGATGGATTTGAGGAAGGCTGGAGAGCAGTTAGGCAGATCTAAAAAAAAAAAAGACAAGCCGGACTTTGATGTCGGACAGAGGTGTTCAGCTCCACTGCTGAGTGTCTCTGGGACTTTGAACACAGCACACTGACTCTCTCAGCCTCCGTTTTCTCATCTGACATGAGGGAAGTAGAAATCATAACAACTGCAGTCAGCCCTCCATATCCACAGGTCCCCATCCTGGGATTCAAACAACCAAGGAGAGAAAATATTCGGGAAAAAAATAGTAACAACACAACAATAAAAAGTAATACAGGAAAAAAAAAAAAAACACAGTCTAACAACTATTTACATAGCATTTACGTTAGAGGTGATTTAAAGTATACGGGAGGATGTGTGATGGTTGTATGCAAATACAATACCATTTTATATCGGCAACTTGATCATCCGTGGATTTTGGTATTCTCGGGGGTTCCTGGAACCAGTCCTCTGGTCCTCTGTGGATACCAAGGGATGACTGTACTGTAATTTTTGCATGTTTATGTGAGGTCAAGTGCTGTTAAAAAAAAAAAAACAAAAAAAACGGAACAATAACAACAACAACAACTCCATATGTTTAGGAACATTTGAGGGTCCAACTCTCATTTTTTAAAGAGGAAAGCGGGCTTAGAGGGGGAAAGTCTGCCACCCAAAAACACAACTGGACAATTAGGAGGTAGAGGGGTGACTCAGACCAGGTTGTCCTGTGTCCTCAGTCTCTCCATTGTATGGCCTCTCCTAGTTGGGTCTAATATAATGTCCCAGGCTATGACACTTGACACAGAGGTGAGGTCACCAAAAGGTACTTCCTTGTGTCTCCACCTTGTTGAGAATTTGTAGGTGGATCATACAACAGACAGCAAGATGTAGCTGCCCTCTAAGATCCTTTCAAGAGCTAATGTTTATGAACAAGATAAAAAGAAGTTTCCGATTCACCCTGTACCTTTCAGCAAATCAGGCAGCATTTATTAAGTGCCTACTGTATGAGGAGCCCAGGGCTTGTCACCAAGGAAGGAGCCAACCCTGGTGGAAGGCATCGCTTCTTTTCTTGGTGGGGGGTGGTGCCTGGTGAGTCATCAGAAGCAGGACAATGGTCCCAAACACTGAAAACATTGTTGATGTGTTGGATGTGTTGGAATACCACCCATCTGTTCTGCAGGGATCAGAAGTGTGGAAAACAGGGCACCTAAATCTCACGTATTTGACTTTGGACTGTATTTTTAGTTTACTTTTGGCAAAGTTTTCATTCAATTATGAATGATTACAATTGCATATCACCCCATTTCTTTGAAAAGAATCAAGGTCTTCCCACCATCACTCCTGCCATCAAAGTGATTTTTGAAAAATTAGAATCTAGGATCTAAGTTCCAATTAATCAGATTCTTTTGGGGACCCTGAATTGTAACTCAGGGCTGGGAAGCATCAAAGTAGCTCCCCAAAGCTCAGCGTATTTCCAGGTAATGAGTGGACCCGGGCAGATTATACATTTATTATGCTACCCACTGGCATGTTAAAAGGAAATCACCCCACTTTTCAGGATGTTTGAGAATTTAAAAAAAAAAAAAAACAACTTACCTTTGTTTAACATTGGATGCAATAAATGAGCTTGGTTTTAAAAGATTCAACATTTAGCGTTCTATTTGAGAAGCTGCATCATAAGCATGAGCAGATTCGTAAGTCTAAGTAAGGAAAAAGCAAACCTGAGTGTTTATCAGGGTGTCATTTCTCATTCAGGATTCCTGAAGTATTTATTAAAAATAAAAACAAAAAACCATAAAATGGTAAGGAACTCATGACACTATAGCATTCACCTTAAGCAATAATGCTATAGACTTTTTTTTTCTTTTTTTTTGAGACGGAGTCTCGCGTTGTCACTCAGGCTGGAGTGCAGTGGCGTGATCTCGGCTCACTGCAACCTCCACCTCCTGGGTTCAAGCGATTCTCCTGCCTCAGCCTCCTGAGTAGCTGGGATTACGGGTACTCACCAACACGCCTGGGTAATTTTTGTATTTTTAGCAGAGATGGGGTTTCACCATCTTGGCCAGGCTGGTCTTGAACTCCTGACCTCGTGATCCACCCACCTCGGCCTCCCAAAGTGCTGGGATTACAGGCATGAGCCACCGCGCATGGCCTATAGACCTTTTAATCTTTTAATGAAACCACCTCTATTTATGACATCATTGGGATACTATCAAAATATTGTTAGCTTTACAAGCTGACATCACTAAACATTTACTGAGTTGCTGCCTTAAAACTGAACCACACACCTTTGACTCACATAAATCATATGTGGCTCTATTGCTTCCTCACAATGTTATTGATAGAATTTGTATGAGCGTGCCGTACAACAAGTACGCCTGCAATTCATCAGCATTCAAAATCCATTCTGTGTTGAGGGAACAGCTTTGCCGTTTTGCCTTAGCAAAACGTTGCTTTCTCTGCAGTTTTCCTTGAAACATTATAATTTGAACTTTGGTGTGTGTTCCTTTACAGCCATTTTCCCCTTACTTCTAGAATATCATCAAAGAAAGAAAACTGAATGCGTTTTCTTTTTTCACTTGTTCTAACTTGGTAGTTTTTGGTATTACTGCTTAAGAAATCACAAAATAATTTGAATTTTGAATTTCTGTCTTTACGGTTAGCAAAATTTACTGACAATGGAACAGATTCTCTCTGTGGAAGAAACTCAAATTAAAGACAAAAAATGCATTTTGTTCAGAATAAAAGGAGGGAAGCAATTTGTCTTGCAATGTGAGGTGAGTTTTTATTTATTTTTTCTTAGGTGAATGTTAGAATAAGTAAATGTTCAGCGAAGTTGGCTGCCTGGCTATAAAACATTTTCTTACGCCATGTTTTATCACTTACAGACTTAGTAAGAAAGCCCCAAGGTACAAGGTTTTCAGGAAATTAATCGTTATTTTTTAAAAAGGCAAACATTATCAGAAAATGGAAGGAGAATGCACATAAAATAATGCCATTACCCTATCAGGAAAATCTGCTCAGTATTTAATGGGGCCTAGAATTTTATTTGTTCCATAACTTTGAAGATTTTTCAGCATGTTCGATGTTAAGGTTTATATATTTCGATAAATATAAGACGGCAAGCTGAAATGCCATCTTCTCTAAAGGAAAATGCCATCTTTTCCTCAAAGTTACGTTATAACACAAATTTCATTCCTGGACACTTTGCGACTGGTGTATTAGTGTGTGCCTGTTTTAAGAGAGCATATTTAGAGAAATAAACACGTCTTAGATGCAAAAAGTCATTTTTACTAACGTCATTACATACATGAATATGTATTAAAAAATTTTTTTGTCAAAACTCCTTCCCCTATATTATTACAGATGTCAGTTGTTTTAGAAATCAAAGATAATCTCTAAAAAATTAAAGGCAGTGCTTCTCAGAGTGGGATTGTACTGGAATCATCTGAAGGGTTTTCATGTGGCCTTTCCCTGCTCTTTTCAAGAGATTCTGGAGAAGGTGGCAGCGCGGCCCATCAGCTAGTAATGCCACTGGGGGTGGACACTTAGGGTGTGCTTCCTTCAGAGGTTCCAGGGATGCTGGTAATCAATAGAGGCGCCCACCGCTGTTGGCAAAGTGGGTGAGCCCGTCACCACGTCTGCCTTTGTGTTCCCCCTCAGAGTGATCCAGAGTTTGTGCAGTGGAAGAAGGAGTTGAACGAAACCTTCAAGGAGGCCCAGCGTCTCTTACGTCGAGCCCCGAAGTTCCTCAACAAACCTCGGTCCGGCACTGTGGAGCTCCCAAAGCCATCCCTCTGTCACAGAAACAGCAACGGCCTCTAGCACCCGGAAACAGGGAGGGTCCTTGCGGAGGACACACCAGGGTCTCAGCCTTTTGGGGTGAACGAGGATGAGGCATCTGATCTATTCGCTACCGGGACTCCTCCAGGCTCCCAAGAGGAGTCGGGACCCTTCGGCTCAGGGTCAGCTCAGCTCCCTGCCTTGTCACATTTGTCCACATTCAAAACTACTGAAGAAATAAAAGTTCTTTTTCTTTGCTACACACTTTGGTATCTATGAACCTAGAACTTGAAGTGACTCCCACTTATCACGTACATTTTTATGTCTGATATCAAACACGTCTTAGACTTTCCAGGATGGAATTTAAAGATGTTCAGTGTTGGGTAGCAGACTGCCCTAAGCATTGCCGCATTTTATCTCTAGTCACTGCTGATTGTCTGTGTCTTTGCTCTGTACTACTGGGGGATGGGAGAGCCACAGTGTTTCCTTTGCACACTTCACAACTGACTTCTTGTCCTGGGGTTAAAAGTTGAAGATATTTCCGCACTCGGGCCCTCCTCTGGGAGCTGCACCCACGTGACTGCCCTGCCTCTCACCAGTCTGTTCCGGGGCCCCCTCGGCCAGGTGGGAATGATGGACACGTACTCTCCAAGTGTATGGATTAACTAGTCATTGAAGGCATTCGTCCGTCCATCACTGGAAAGATTTGCAATGATTCTGAAGGACAGGCAGTGGAGTTTTAGGTTTCAGGGGCAAGAGCAGTTTTCAGAAGTCTTTGAGTCCAGTGTGCACGAGTCGACAAGCAGTACCTGGCGTGCAGAAGCACTCGTGGGTGAGTCCATCTCGGGTCTCGACAATTAGCAGTTGTGTGACAGTCATTCTGGTTCCTTCTGCCTGACCCTGGGAGACATATCAGAAATGGATGTACAAAAGCAGGTCTGTTTTACGTTGTAGTATAATTTAAGATGAATTGTATTGAAAAAATGCTGAAGAATGAATGTGTCAAAATGGGTTAACTGTGTATATTGGCGTTCATGTTGTCATCCATCTGTCATGAATGAGTGATACTTTGCACTGGACTGTACGACAGTGAGGACCTTAGGGCATGAAGCCTTTTTCCTGGTCCCTGCAGCGTCTGCCCCGTGAAGTTTGTTTTCTCCCACTGCCTCCAGGCCCCACTGATACCCCCAAATAGATGCTGGGTTATGAGAACCAGCAAAGTCCCCCATGTCATCAGTCTTAAAAAAAATAATTTTCCAAGTCCACGTATTTGTCCCATTCTTGGAGTAGTTTTAGTGTATGTCTTTACTAACAGTATAAATCACTTGACATCATAATGGTCTGCATCCTGTCCTTGATATATTTAACGGTTCTAAATCTTTGTTTTTATATTTGTGTGCTGTGTTCATGGGCAAAGTAAGTACTTTTTAATGCAGTTATTTTGAGAGTTTGGAAGATAAATTGTTGAAAGAATAACTTTTCAAAGGGATCCGTTATTTATTCATATGAGTTACTTTGCAAAAAAATGTGGCGG